AAATTCACACTAGAACAAGGGGTGGATTACTGTGTACGGACTACATTCTTTAATAAAATTCACATTAGAACAAGGGGTGGATTACTGTGTACAGACAACATTCTTTAATAAAATTCACATTAGAACAAGGGGTGGATTACTGTGTACAGACTACATTCTTTAATAAAATTCACATTAGAACAAGGGGTGGATTACTGTGTACAGACTACATTCTTTAATAAAATTCACACTAGAACAAGAGGTGGATTACAGTTTGGTAAAATTCAGAGTAAACATTCTAAGCATACTTGTTAATATATGAATTAGTTGTTCTAAGTATTTAGTATCATTAGTAATCCTACACGAGATGTCCATCTTGAATGAAATTATGTAACTTGCATGTTTTACTCATTAAAGTAACTTCCAGTAGGGTTGTAGAAGTGTTTAAGTTGTTGTTCACATGTACCTAATGTTGCCTCACAGAAACACTCCAGGTTTATTCATTGCTTGTGGCTTTAAGAAAGCCCATATTTAACCTTAATTTGTAAAAAAAAAAAAAATCTTCACATTACTTTCTACAGTAGACTTAAATGCTGCAAGATAACTAAATAATAGTTAAATAAAATAAAAAAAGTTATTCTTAATACATTAGTTACCTTTTAAACCAACAGATGTTTTAAAAGTCACTGCCGTAGTTCAGACGACCGTGTTATAAAAATCAAGGAACAAATGTGAAATTTGGCGTGTATATCAGTTTGAACGCGCAGAAGACAATACACACATTGTTTAAAACTTCTAGAATATGATTTTGAGAAATATCATTTATACCTTTAGATATCATGTAACGCGACCATGATGTCATAAGAACATATACGAGTGTGTAGGTTATGTACTGTTGGTTGAAATTGATCTACATACACTGTTTCACAACACTTTATCGATTCATTTTGTGAATGCACACTTCTGAACCGTCGAAGTGACTACTTAAACATCTGGTACTACAACGTTTGATAATTAAAAAAAATTCTATGTATAAGTTTGTTTTAATGGCATATCAAACACAGGAATGAAGAGTAAAATAAGCAAAACATTTTTTTGACACAATGAACAATAAAATCTTTATTAGATACTTCAGCCCACTAGTTTCGGTAACACAAGTACCGTCGTCATGGAAACTGATTACAGTGTTACCAAAAATAACCAGCTGAAATATCTTATAAAGATTTATATCTTTCGTAGTGCCACAAAAAAAAATTGGTTTTTTACTCATAATATAGAAAAATATGCCCGAAAGGAAATTACAAGTAAAGAAATGTAATACCGCTTCATTAGCAGAGTATATCACAGTGGATAATTCATAGCTAAAACAGAATCATCATTTATATTTACTAGAACTATCACAACTTTAACATAATGTCACAAAAATTCTGAATATACCCTAATTTATCTGGTAAAATACTGAAGATTAAATGAGTTATTAATATTTTTACATATGACATAAGTACAGTACAAAAAGAGAGAGAGAGAGATTTTAATATATGTAATTGTAAGAACAGTTTGTGTGAATATACAGCACAGTAACCAAAGAAATATTTGTTTAAATTGCCTACCAAATACCCACCATAGAAAAAAAAGGGTTGGTACAGGATGAATCTTCTTTGATACTAGAACATCCATTCCTATTGTTAAACAAATAAATAAATAAAAAATGTACGTAACATATGAAACAGCAAATGTTCAAAATTACACAACACTATTAACAACATATGTAGCAGTAAGTGTAAACAGCACAAACTTATGTGTAGCAGTAAGTGTTAAAAAAATTACACAACACTGTTAACAACATGTGTAGCAGTAAGTGTAAGCAGCACAAACTTATGTGTAGCGGTAAGTGTTAAAAAAATTACACTGTTAAAACCATGTGAAGGAGCAAATGGAAACAACAAAAAGCTGTTAAAAAAAAAATATTTTTACAAACTAAAAAAGAATTTACAGTGCACTAGAAAATACGTATGAATAAACATTAAGCAAACGAGCCTCTAAACTAATGCATAATCACATTAACCAGCAAAAATCTTTTAAAGACTATATCATTAAACAGGCATGTATGTTAAATACAAGCAAGACAAAGCCAATCACAAGACATTCACCAATAAAGGTTACCTTCTACAAATTCTTAACACCTTCTGTGATTGGCCCAAGATAACTCAAGCACCCCTCCATGTTTGAATAAATATTTGCCCAAGTTAATTTGGTTAAATCATTTCTCACCATCGTTTTAATTATTTTCCCGAATTTATTCATGTTATTATGTATTACAATCAGTGTTCGCTAGATGGCGTTGGAAATGTTGTTTGTACTGAATTTATTCTGAATAATGTATCATAAACATTGGACAAAAACATTTCTAGTATTCATGATGAAACTTAGTTGAATTGACGGCAACTACCCGTTGTAGAAACACAAGTGTAGAGGACGACGTTTCGAAAGACCTTTACCTTTTGTCTTCAAGTCAGTGTGTGTGTGTGTGTATGGTGTTGTCAGTCTTTGTAGTATTCTGGTGGATTGTGAAGAGCGTGTTACGATTGTTTTTTTATCCCTGGAGAGACTTCTTGTAGATTAGGGGTGAGTAACCTATGGCTACCTTTGGTTGAAGAAGACTCTCTACCAATCAGAAACAGGAATAATAAAAACAATCATAACATGCTCTCCACAATCCACTAGAATACTACAAAGACCAACAACACCATACACACACACACTGACCTCTACACTTGTGTTTCTACAACAGGTAGTTGCCGTCCATTCAACTAAGTTTCATTCTATTCTTTACTGTAGTTTTCTGGAAATAATAAATCTAGATAAACAACATTTATTCACTGAGTATATGTTGTTCAGGAATATAATAACAGATCATACAAGAACTTTTGTTTCAGTAATGTACAAGTATCAAAAAACAAATAAAAAAATCTGACTTTCTTGTAATTCATTTCCATAAAAAACCTGACACGGAAGAAGTTAATCACACAAACAAATACAACTTACTGGCACAGGATATAAACTTATACTTTTCAAGTTCTTTAACTTACAAACAAAATTTATAAACTACAGTAGCATGAACCAGTTCGTGCAAGAATTAACAGAGAGCAAAAACCTACCATGCATAAACACCCATGTGCCACTTATGCATACATTCTATTGTTGAAATACTCATCAGCTCTGATGGTCCGTTTTAGTCTTTATTATTTTCTGTTACTTCATTCTTTTTGCTCATATCTTCAACTTGTAATTAACAAAACTCGTTGAGACAAAATAAGTGTTTAGAGGTTTTTGCTTAACCATCTATTTGCAGTTAAGTTTCAGTAAAACTATTTTACTAAAGAAAAGACTCAAAGATTCTCAAGCCAACAGGCATTTTGAATCCAACTAGTTATAATAAGATTAAGTATTTTCAAAGAAAAGCTCTCTCAAAAAGTTTTCAACTGAACAAAATAGGTTTCAAACTCTTTTGTTCTAGAAAGTACAAACAGTTAAAACAACCACATTGTCAAATAACAAAATATTTAAGCACCAAGCCGTGCACTGAAAATAGCAACTGAAAGCAATATTATCTTTGATACGTACTGTTTTTGGATATCTTCAGTTAGCATGTCACCATTTTTTAGTTTTCCATTGCAGCTGCTATCACTGGAAACATTCAAATTTAAAAACAAATGAAATATAAAGAACATTAAAAGCAGAAAAAGTTACTTAGTATATAAACATGTTGGTAAGTATCTAAGAGAGTAAGTTTGTAGTTTCAAAACAACACTAAATCCAAGGTTGCCAGCTATATACACTTTATTTAAACTTCAAATATCATATTATTAAACAGATTCTACGAAAAGACAGCAATACACAAAATAGTTTTGTCAATTATCAATAATTATGTTCCCAGTATGCTTGAAATCTTATTCTGGCTCGAACAATGTATTATCAATTATAAATAATTATGTTTCCAGTATACTTGTAATCTTATTCTGGCTCAAACAATGTACATTTATTTTCTGATAGCTGATATGTAAAAACCAGAAATTGAGGGTTACTTATTTTTAATATTATTAATTATAAATAATTATGTTCCCAGTATGCTTGAAATCTTATTCTGGCTCAAACAATGTACATTTATTTTCTGATAGCTGATATGTAAAGCCAGTTAGCCTAGACTGAAAAACCAGAAATTGAGGGTTACTTATTTTTAATATTATTAATTATCAATAATTATGTTCCCAGTATGCTTGAAATCTTATTCTGGCTCAAACAATGTACATTTATTTTCTGATAGCTGATATGTAAAAACCAGAAATTGAGGGTTACTTATTTTTAATACTCTGCTTTCAATTATAACATTTTTCTTCTTCCACAGTTAAATGATTATGTAGCTACCATTCTGATTCATCCAGCAAATATGAAGTGGAAAGCATCTGAACCATGACACATTTTCAAATAAACAACTGAAAGTTACCTTTAAGCATGATAAAATTCAATAATAATAATAATAATAATTTAAAACTTATAAACCCTAACTGAAATTTGTATTTAACTTTTGTAAATCGCTCACCTATTTAATATAACAATTGTTTTTGAGTCTTTTGTTGTCAGTATCGTTTCTTTACTTAGCAAAGAATACTGATTTTCAGGTTTTTCAGACTTTTCACCTAAAAAACAAACAAGTTGAATGTATATAGTTATATTTTATAAACAATCCGTGTTGTGTGTACTATATTAATTGTTTTGTTAAAAACAAAAAGGCAAGTGAAGAATGAGTTTAATATTCAAGAAGAGCATCTACACAAATTTCCTTGACTACTAGAATGACTAAATCTTACTAACTTTTACCTAGCAAAGTTAACATTTATTATCTGTCAAGCTAGTACTGCTTTAATATTAAATCTTACCTTTGTAATATATTCTGACAAGATACAATAAAAGATCAGATTATTATTAATTAAGTGAAGCCTGCCTTGCACTTACAGAGGTTTAAATTATCCTAATTTCTGCCAGAATTTTAAACATAATTGGGGTATGTTGAAAGGAAAGACTTAGATCTTTGTTACATACACAAACACACACAGCCGTACGTACGGTAATCAGTTACAAACACACACAGGCATACGGTAATCACTTACAAACACACACACAGGCGTACGTACGGTAATCACTTACAAACACACACAGGCGTACGTACGACCGTACGTACGCCTGTGTGCTTACAAGTGATTATCGTACGTACGCCTGTGTGCTTACAAGTGATTATAATCACTTGCAAGCACACTGTCATGTGTACGATAATCACTTGCAAGCACACTAGCATGTGTACGATAATCACTTGCAAGCACACTAGCATGTGTATGATAATCACTTGTAAACACACAGGCATGTGTATGATAATTACTTGTAAACACACAGGCATGTGTATGATAATTACTTGTAAACACACAGGCACGAGTATGATAATTACTTTATTCTATAGGTTTGAAGTCATAAACAAAATTATCTCAAACACATACATTTACTTCTTTCCTCATCAGCTTTAGCTTTAAGAATGTTGCATTTCATCTGGTCTGGAGGAATGGGTCGAGCTCCACCACCACCACTGCTAGGCCACATCTGGTTATTTTTTAAAATGCTCCCATCTTTAGTAGTAGAGCTAGCAGCACTCGAGCTGCTGGCATTAGACACAGATCGTTTGGACTGAGGAGAACTGGTGGAATCCAAACCTTTCAACTTCGCTGCTAAAACCTCAGATTCTGTTAGAGTCAAATAAACAAACATTTTGATTACAAGTTATTAATTAATTGTAAACCATAATATCATCACTTGAAAGGGGAGGCTAAACACTAAAGTTCTTTAGATATTCATTTAAGAAAATGTGTTTATAAATAAACCATCTGTCTGTCTGTCTATGACCCTAATAAGGATTAAGTATATAAACTTTTTCACACAAATACTCATTTCAAACTTTTGTTCAATATGTAAAATAAACTAAAAGTAGAAACATTCCATAGTAGTTACAGTGCTTAGAATTTTGACAAATGAAACTATACTTTTACTCTGTATCATAAGAGCAAGTGTTTTGACATTTTATGTAGACCAGGAGGTTGGATATTCATATGAATAGTAAATTATTAGGCTAAGGACACATGGCAATGGATGCTAATCTGTTTCCCAGTGCAGAAACATCCACTTTGTGCTACGTATAGTTTAAAAAACCTAATTGCATTTGTACTTTCTACAGACCTGACATCGTTGTTGCAGTTGTATCTTCATTCTTCCCCGACACAGGAGATACTGAATACTCATTCTTTGTATCTCCTTTTACTTCACTAGCCTTCTCCTTAGATAAGGATTTGATAAGAGTGTCCAGCCTCTCCTCTGGGGAACTGACCACTGTTACAGTACATATAGGAGCACTGCTAGCTGTAGAAGTGACCATGGAGGGTGATGAAGGAACAGAAGACACTGTGGTCAGAGGTAATGCTTGGTCTTCTGAGGCCTTAGTTACTGGTGGTGTTGTAATGGTTGTGCTGTCAACAGCAGTGGTGACCTCTGGTGTTGAAGCAACATTAGCAGCAAGAGTTGGAAAGACTCTAGATTTCAAAGAAAGTTCACATACATTTTTCTTTTCAAGATTCGGCTAAGCGATGATTTATTCAAACATTAAAACTGATTTTACTTTCTCATTATACATGAAAAACAAACACCTGAAAGACGTTTTAGATGTTGTAATGTCATTCATTTGGTTCTAAGAAATTAGACACAATATTTCAAACTTCTCCTGTACATGTATGATTTGTATTGGCTGTTTGAAGTTTTATCCTCACACTGTTAGAGGTGGAAGAATCTTACTACAACATCCAAAATTACATTTTTTTTTAGAAATTTAAAAGAAACCGTGCTTATATTTTAGAAATAAATAAGATATGTGTATTTAATTTCAACTTTAAAACACCTCATTATCTCTACCTTTCCAAACTATATTAAAACATATCACTTTATGTTTAATTTAGGCAGAGTTTTTATATATGTAGAATTTGATGATTTTGTAAATCCTGGAGACTAACACACGCCCTCTCTAGTACATAATATCAATGACAGTTCGTGATTTGGAAAGTGTGCACTTTCTAACAAAATCTAAAATTTTCCTGACAATTAAGATTCAATAATATACTAGCCTATTATGTACGACAATTAAGAGTATACAAATTTTAAACATTAAAAGGGACTTAACAGCACAGGATATTATTAATTAGAGCATTTGTTATAGTCACATCGGCATACAATTACAACAGTAAAATAATTTTGATGTTCAAACCTCCGGAATTGCACATCACACACCTAGGAAACCACATACTGCTTCAGAAATCTCAAATCTGCTCCTCTTTTTTTCATGAAAAAACCTAACCATGACACCACACACACACACTCATGTACACTTGATTTTTTTTTTTATTATGCTCAGAAAAGCCCTACAATACACCAATTCAGCCCTAATTATTTAACCGCAAAATAGGTGGAGGAGGGGCTTCCTATATTTTGTACTAGTGAGCCTCCTCTCCAGAATTCCTGGACACACCCTCAATCTCTGCAATCAAACACAATGCTAAACATGAAAACTAAGAATTCCTGCTAGTGAACAAATATCACCAGTAAGTAGGTGTACCCGCAGGCTCTAGACTCCTAATTACTCTCCGTTATATTATTCTATTGGTCAACTGCAATACATAAAATTTTCCTATCATACAGCTTTCTGATTCATTATATAGTTGGTATAATAAAGTCTACTCTAAAACTAACACTAATGACTGTACAAGGTAAGGTGACTGACCTACAAACTCAAGAACTTCAACCAATATAGACAGTGCTATACCCCTTATTCTAGGGGATTGGCAAATCAATAGTATTTTTATTAACATACGTCACAAGCTTTTGAAATCGATGTAAATAACTCACCTATTTGTCTTACTTTCATTACTGTCTTTTAAATTTGCAGTTTCTCTACGGCGATCATGAGTAATTCGACGAGAATACCTTTGACTTGGACGACGTTCAAACTGTACAGTACGTCTAGCTCGATTTTGGGTAGCTTGTAACTCTGTTCTACCACTAAAAAGACATTAATAACATTTTATTGAAACCTCTATCTGACAAACACAAAATTTAAATTAAAGTTTGAACAGTATAAGATGATCCAAATTGAAACCTATATTTCAGACTACTTTTTTTTCTTTTTTGGATAAAACTTGAAACAGAATGAAATAAGAAGCTAAAACTAGAGAAAAGGTCCTAGAAAAATTACATATAAGGTGGCTTATAGGTTTATAAAGCCTAAGGACTGTTGCCTGAGTGCTGTCCTGTTTAAAGAACAGCTTACAAGTAAGTATTGTTGTGGCCCACGTTTTTATAGTTAGGTATTTATAGAAATTTGCATTGTTGTTTAGCTGGAAGGAAGTTTTGTATAATATTGGCATTAATGTCTGGAATTTTCTCCAAAGTTTAGGAAACAATTTGACCCATATACGGAAAGTGTGCTACGCTAAATCGAATAATTAAGTTTGTTAATCAGTTAATAAGTAATCAGTGCATAATTTGGTCAGTTTTTCAAGGATAACCAATTAGACAGTTAGTTAGTTAAATGCCATGAATATTACATTTCTGTTTAAACAAAAAACAGATATATAAAATCAGAAAGTAAGTGGAATTTCTGTTTAGATATAGTTTGTTTGTGAAGTCAGGCATATCAGTGAATGTTAGTTAACTGTTGTACTTCAACTTCTAGAAATAAAACATCTTGTTATTGTTAAGTACTCTGGACTTTGTGTTATATCTTTTACCAAAATACTCAAGAGAACCAAGCAAGCAATAGAAATTATTACAGCAATATGTATTTATGAGAATTCATAATTTGACTGCGACCATGCCAATTAATGGTTATAGACAAGATATAATGGTCAAGTAATGTAATAAAAAAAGTTTCAAAAAGAACAAGTGGTTAGTCATTTCCATTCAATCCAAGTGAGGTTATTTGTATCTTGTTGACTAGGCAGTACTTGACAGAATATCTCTATCAATGAGTTATTTCTTTACTTCTTAACACGTTTCTTATGTAATTCCCGCTTAGCATTTGCATTTTTTAATACTCGTGTTTGGTTTTTGAGATGCGCTTTAGTGAAAAATAATAGCTTGCTAAAATAGATGTGTGCATCCAAATATAGTTTATTTTCACACAGAATACATTTAAAGATCAACCTGTAAAATAGAAAAATTCAAACAAAATAATTGAATTCACCAATTGTTATACAGATTTTATCACAGTTTCTGCAACTGCAGACATTATCATAAATTTACTTATAAAGTAAAAAAAAAAAATTAAGATAAATTTATACATACATACATATACATGAATGTACAATTTTCTGTACTTGTTTTAAATGTTTCCTTTCTAAAGCCTAAGGTAACTAAACAAGAAATCAGAAAATCATCGAGCTACTCGAACACACAAGAACACTGTGAAATGGTTCACTCCCTTAAGTAAACATAACCCACTAGTTGGACCTTGTGGCTGTAACAATTATAAAACACATAAGCAGTAGTAAGTTTCACCTTGTGCTAGTGTATTCGGTGGAGTGTTTAATCAATTGTAGCTATGCTCAACTGTGAATCCACGAGAAAGTGTTAGATCTACATGGCATCATGAATCAATAACTTAAAACTTTATACACGTGAAAAAAAAAACTCAAAATATCCTACAATAATTATTCTTGTATTTATTTTAAACAGAACATTCATAATGGTACTTTATTCTTCTGCCATTTTATAAGTGTAAGTTACTCTCTCACTTATCAGTACAAACATTACAATAACTGTTTCAATACACTCAATCAAAAAAGTCATTAATTAAGAAAAATGAACCTGTCAAATATAATTTTGAATGGTTTCAGGAATTTTTAACATTTTTAATGTATCCTCGGGAGGAACATTTATGAATTAAGCTATTTTAAAACTGTTTTGAAGATTGATTATCTTTTTTATGTGAACTCAAATGCACTAAAATAGACACAAATAAATAAATGGTCCCTAATTACCTGTATCTAAATCTAGATCCCATCCTGAAAAAGTTCTGTCTTGTTGACATATTTTTTACAGGACCTTTCAGCCTAAAGAAAGCATGATGCTCCACAGCACACTTCCACAGGTGTTTACAAGCTTTGCCATTATATAAACGGAAAACAAACGTGTGCTCCTGTTCATGACCCTAGAACCAAAACCGTCACTTACTATCTTCTCACTTTACAAGATGTATCCATACACTCACCCATGATTAATTTCAACAGACACTTTTATATTTAATGAAGTTGAAATCTGGTTTGAACATTTGTAATGTCCTAATAAAATTAAGAATGTTAAATTTAAGTCACAGAGCAGTTAATTTTATTTAACGTACATATTTACATTAAAGAATTTTGCCATTCATATTTTTGTTGTCTTTACTTCGACTTTCTTCAAAGTAGATGGCTTGCATTGATTAGAAATTAATATTAATTCCCATGTAATGAATTTCAAGTCCGGTTTAAGTTCAGATTTTGTTGTTTTTTTCTAGGTAAAAATCAATATTTTTAATTAATTTCAAACACTCATCCAATCAGAGTGACTACGAGCGTTTTTCTGTAAAAACAACTTTTTCAAGTGGCTTTACAGAATTTTGAGACATTTTATAATTCAAATAATTTTGCAAATATCTATACAAACAACCTGGACTATCAGTGGAAAAAATTAAAACTAATTTTATTAACCTTCAGTTTGACAACCCTACAATTTTTATTATATTTATTAAATAATTCTTCCTAGTGAAACAAAGTAATATACAAAAGTATAAATATGAAAGATTCGAATTATCATTACTTACCTCATCATCATCCTCAACCACAACTAAAGTCAATTTTTTACTCTTGAAATCCAGTCTTGTTATTTTAGGCCAAAAAAACAAACCGATTTTTGTAGAGTTTTCAAAAACAAGTATACCTGTAGGTGTTAGGCCTAATGAGTATTCATTGCCATCTTTACCCTGTAATAAACAGTTTCATATATTAATGATGTCACAGCGCATTATACATTCATATAAACATCATACATGGTACATGTGTAGAAGTCAATCAATGGCTTGTGCAAATGTCAATATTTCATAATATTCTTTAAAAATAAATCGCATTTATCAAAACCAGTTCATAATCCTTTCTTAACAACTGTTTTATTTGTTTATGTATAACATTCGATCCATTAGCAAATAAAGCTTTGTAAGCATTATTCAGTAGCGAAAATACGCCTGTGTCAGTGTGTACTCAGTAGTGAAAATACACCTGTGTATCTCAGTAGTGAAAATACACCTGTGTCAATGTGTACTCAGTAGTGAAAATACACCTGTGTATCTCAGTAGTGAAAATACACCTGTGTTAATGTGTACTCAGTAGTGAAAATACACCTGTGTTAATGTGTACTCAGTAGTGAAAATACACCTGTGTTAATGTGTACTCAGTAGTGAAAATACACCTGTGTTAATGTGTATCTCAGTAGCGAAAATACACTTGTGTATCTCAGTAGCGAAAATACACTTGTGTATCTCAGTAGCGAAAATACACTTGTGTATCTCAGTAGTGAAAAAAAAATAACCTTATTTTTTCACCAAAATTCTTGTAGCTAACAAATTATAAATTGTTTATGCAAAATGTAAGCAAATAAATATTAGAAACAAAAATTAAAAAAATAATTATCTTAACTGAAATGTGCATACTATGAATGTGTTAAATGCATTTATATTTGACTTTGAACACTAACATAATAAAATGAAAAATTTAAGTTCCCATATAGGCAGTGAGATGATAAATGTTTAAACAAATGCTTTCACACAAATTCTGGAGGTGTAGTATATACCTTACTCTCCTATAGCATATATTTCATATCTACAAAATTTTAGAAGTTTTTTTTCCAAGATTCAATTTGGAACATCCTAAGTCTAGTTAAAGTCATGTGTTAAATTTGTCTTCAGGTGTTAAGATTTTGTAGCTTGACTAGCTAAGTAACTTATCTGCTGTTTCATGGGACACCTGACTTTGTGTACAGAGGACCAACTTGTGACTGTTGCATGAAATAGGGATATTTCCATGTTTTGGTGCCTGTTTTCTAATTGGTCAATTACAGAGAGAATGTATAGTATGATGATTTACACTAACTTCTGAGGAAAACGGTTTATTCTGAGAAAGCCAAGGATTCTTGTGGAAATCCCATTTTTGATTAAGTGTATTTCTATCTGCTGATTACACATGCTGCAGTTTACTTGTACTCAATTAATTTACATTTTCTTCCTTTATTTAGCAGTGTTTCATTCAACTAATTGATCGAACATGAGACTAACCTTCTTAATTTCAGCCTCATTTGGTTGTTTCTAAAGACAATTCTGAATTACCTTTTGTTTAATACAATAGACATTCTGGATATAACAATTAGGATTATGTATTATATATTCAACATAGTACAAAACCTATAGCAAGCTAAAATTAATACCAACAGTGTTCTACGAGTTTCTCCCTACAAATTTTCACAAGATTAATCTATTAAAACTAAATAAACTAATTCTTTGTTAAAAATAATTGTCCTTAAATTTTACGAGATAAAACTTATTATGGCATGTGATAGATTATATAAGCTAGTGAAGATTCTTGTTACGGCACGTGATAGATTATATAAACTAGTGAAGATTCTTGTTACGGCACGTGATAGATTATATAAACTAGTGAAGATTCTTGTTACGGCACGTAATAGATTATATAAACTAGTGAAGATTCTTGTTATGGCACGTAATAGATTATATAAGCTAGTGAAGATTCTTGTTACGGCACATGATAGATTATATAAGCTGGTGAAGATTCTTGTTACGGCACGTGATAGATTATATAAGCTAGTGAAAATTCTTGTTACTGCACGTGATAGATTATATAAGCTAGTGAAAATTCTTGTTACGGCACGTGATAGATTATATAAGCTAGCGAAGATTCTTGTTACGACACGTGATAGATTATATAAGCTAGCGAAGATTCTTGTTACGACACGTGATAGATTATATAAACTAGTGAAGATTTTTGTTATGTAACAAGAATCTTCACTAGCTTATATAATCTATCGCATGCCGGCATGTGACAGATTATACAAGCTAGTGAAGATTCTTGTTATGGCATGTGACAGATTATACAAGCTAGTGAAGATTCTTGTTATGGCATGTGACAGATTATACAAGCTAGTGAAGATTCTTGTTACGGCACGTGATAGATTACACAAGCTAGTGAAGATTTTTGTTATGGCATGCGATAGATTACACAAGCTAGTGAAGATTTTTGTTATGGCATGCGATAGATTACATAAACTAGTGAAGATTCTTGTTAAAGTATGTGACAGATTATATGTAATTTTGTGCAAACAAGTTCACTACAATCATAGAAAAACAAAGATAGTACAATGGTTACTATTTGGCAAGAAAATTTGTGATGATCTCTTTGTAGAGATTAAAATGATTCATAAGATGGAAATTGAAGTATTATGAGAAATATAAAAATCACAATAATATGCAAATTTTTTTAAATTAAGTCTTATTCCATAATCAGTATGAAAAACTTTAGAAAAATTAATAACTTAATAAGTATAAAAAAATCATAATCTTTTAACCCTTTTGAGATGGGTCATGAGTGAAAGGCCATATTATCTTGTTTGTTGACTTGCATTCAAAATTTTATTGAACTACTATTTCATGAATTTATTTCAATAACTTTGGTATCATACTGTATATTATAATTCAAATTTTAGTATTATATATTATTCAATTTCTTAATTTAAAAGCAAATATTAAAAAACACAGACAAACATAAATTTTTGTGTGTCATATGGTAGGTCGATTAAAGCACTGGTCCAAATTAGATGTTTGTGAAGTTAAAATATTAAGTCTGTAGTTTTGTACGAATTAGAAACTAAAATTAGTGATATTGATAAGCTATAATATATAATAAGAGCCTTTTATCCTTTCAATTTGCTAAAATATTACTCATTTAATAAGTCAAACAAAGTGGCACCCCACCCACCTCTTTCCGATTTTGGAAACGCTCCTTTATATAAACTTACTACTATATATGACATTAATAACCAATCAGAAGCTCAGAATGTCCCCCTGGTGGCTTTGTCAGGCATTTTAATGGGCTTGGCACCATTTCTTTCTTTTGAACCAATATTTCAATGAGGTAAGATGTGTCATTAGTCTGCTCAAAATTTCATATTTTTTGAAGACTAAAATACATCTTAGTTACTAAGCTTGATAAATTATAGTGGAATTCTATGGTATTAATTTAGTAATTTATGATTTTTTAGTTATTCAAATGTATATATAAAACCTAAAAAAAATATTTTGTTTCATATCCTCAACGTGCAAATTTTTTAAAGGCTTAGCAACCTATGCCAAGCAGTAACTGTGTACAAAAGTCATGACTATAAGAAATAATTGTTTGCTTTACTTCTTTATTTACTGTTCTATGTTTTAGGAAAAATAACTTTAAGAACTTATTTCAAAA